CCCCTCTTCCCCCCCCCGGCTGGCTTCCCTCCCCGCCGCAGCCCCCTGCACCGCACGACCACCTAGCAGCCCTGGAGGCGTGGGCTGAGCACAGGAGTGAGGAGGGGGTGGGAAGTACAGACCTGACCCTCGTCCTTGGTGAACTCTGGATGGTGGCTGAGCCTGCGCAGGGTGGTGGTGGTGAGGGGGGGTTTGAGAGCAGGCGTAGGAGCCGGGAGCAATGCTGTCGGTGCGGGGTGCACGAGGAGGAGGGAGAACCGCACACTGAGATTTGCAGGCGGAGAGCACGCTGGGCTCTGATGGTAAGGAGGGTGTGCGGGTGCCGGGGACCAGGAGAGGGCAGCGTGAACAGAAGAGCAAAGGCGGGAGGAGTGAACGGGGGACCAGACAGGAGCAGCACACAGGTGTCACTCTCAGCAGAAGTGGGTGCAAGAGGAAAAAAAGGGAAAACACCAAACTGCAGTTGGAAGAGAGAAGAGACAAAAAAAATAGTAAGATGTTTCTAGACCCAGGGAAAGAAATGAGTGGGAAGGAAACGCCAGCAATGGGAAGGGAGCCTTTTCCCAGTAGGAGGGCTGGGGTCGGAAACCAGACCAGGCAGGGTGCAAGGCGGAGAGGACAGTGACGGTGGAAAGCACCTGAGTCCGCACCCCAGCACTGCTCCCCTGCTGCCCGCCTCACGGCACCGAAATTCCCTTCTTTACCACAAGGCCCGGCACAAACCACACAGTCCACCCACCTTCTGTCCCTTCAGCATCATTCCTACCAGTTCCCTGGGGGAGCCCACTGGGCCACTCTCCTCTCCAAACACCCTTCTCCTCATTCTGCGCGACAGCATTCACCGTCCCCCCAAAACAGCAGCAGGATCCCAGTCAGACACCCATCCCTCTCTACCTGCTGAAACCCACCCACCCATCTTCTGAGGCCCGAAAGCCCCTCTCAATCTCCCCAACATGAGGACACTCATCCTTCCACTGAACGGAGCAGGAATTGCTTGCTCTCGCTCATCGAAACAATCATGTTCTCTTTGTATTTAAGGTATTTGAGTACTTGTCTTACCCCCAACTATTAGATTGTAAGCTTCCTAAGGTGCGGAATGACTTCTCTGCATAAAGCTCCTTGGCCTCTAGTCCAGTGATGGCGAACCTTTTGAGCTCGGCGTGTCAGCATTTTGAAAAACCCTAACTTAACTCTGGTGCCCTGTCACATATAGAATTTTTTGATATTTGCAACCATAGTAAAACAAAGACTTATATTTTTGATATTTATTTTATATATTTAAATGCCATTTAACAAAGAAAAATCAACCAAAAAAATGAGTGCGTGTCACCTCTGACACGCGTGTCATAGGTTCGCCATCACTGCACTAGTAGGTCCTTGTAAACAAAGGGGAGAGCAGATGTTAAATGAATGCGGAGATTCAGCTTTGGAAGCATTTAAAAAAAAATTTTTCTTTTTATTCAGAGAGGAAGGGAGAAGGAAAGAGATAGGAACATCAATGATGAGAGAGAATCATTGATCAGCTGCCTCCTGCATGTCCCCTAATGGTGATCAAGCCCACAACCAGGGCATGTGCCCTGATGGGGAATAGAACTGTGACCTCCTGGTTCACAGGTCAATGTTCAACCACTGAGCAACACCAGCCAGGCTGGAAGCACTCTCTTAAATACAGCTCCCTATACTAATCAAGTGAAAAGTCAAAATACATTTTAAAAATAAGATGTTTAAACCTCTATAGTAGGAAGGGCTCAGGCAGGGGAAAGACAGAATGAACCTGGGACGTCCTGGGCCAGAAAGCAGGGAAGCACTGAATGCTAACAGTGGGAATAACAGGACACACAGGAAGCAGCTGGAAGAAGAACCAATGAGACAAATTAGGGGCCATGTGAGCATCCAAATGCAATGCATGTGATCCAGCAATTCCTCCTCTGGGTATTCACCAAGGAAACACGAAAACACGAATTCATAAAGATATGCCTGCACCCGCATGCTCGCTGCAGCATTATTCACAACAGCCAAGACGTGGAACAGCCTCAGTGTCCACTGACGGGTGAATGGGTAAAGACGTGGTGCCTGTAAGTACAGGGGTACTACTCGGCCATTAAAAGGACGAAGCACTGCCTTCTGTGGCAATGTGAATGAGTCCTGAGGGTATTATGTTAAGTGAAGGACAGAGAAAGACAAAACTATATGATTTCACTCATCTGTGGAATGTAAAACAAAAAAGTAACAAATGAACTAAAAAACAACTCACAGATACAACAGGATGGTGGTTACCAGCGGGGAAGTGGGGAGGGGAGGGCAAAGTAGGTAAGGTGATCAAATATACGGCAACATAAGGAAACTAGACTTTGGGTGGTAGGCACGCATTTGATTATACAGATATCAAGTTCTAATGTTGTACACATGAAACTTACATAATATTAAACAACGTTACCTCGATAAATGTAATTATTTAAAAAATTTAATACAGTAGTCGCCCCATATCTGTGGTTTTGCTTTCCACGGCTGCATTTACCCAGGGCCAACCATGGACTGAAAATATTAAATAAAAATTCCTGACATTTTGAGAAAGAGAGAGAGCACATTCACATAACTTTTATTAAAGTATATTATTACTATTCTCTAACTGTAAAATGAACTACTGTTGTCCTTTTTTTATTAGTTATGGTTAATCTCTTACTGTGCCTAATTTATAAGTTAAATTGTACCCTGGGTATGTATATTTTAAGAAAAAGCACAGAACCACTCTTACTGTGCCTAATTTATAAATTAAATTGTACCCTGGGTATGTATGTTTTAAGAAAAAGCACAGAACACTCTAGCTGGTTTGGCTCAGTGGATAGAGCGTTGGCCTGCAGGCTGAAGGGTCCCAGGTTCGATTTCAGTCCAGGGCACATGCCCGGGTGCAGGCTCGATCCCCAGTGGGGGGCATGCAGGAGGCAGCCGATCAACGATTCTCTCTCATCATTGGTGTTTTCTACCTCTCTCTCCCTCTCACTCCCTCCCTTCCTCTGTGAAATCAGTAAAAACATATAAAAAATAAAAAGAATAGATCAATAGTCTCTGAAATATACAAAATTAACACTATTTAAAGAAGAAAAAGCATAGTACATATAAGGTTTGGTACTATCCCCGGTTTCAGGCATCCACTGGGGGTCCTGGAACGTATGCCCGTGGATAAGGGAGGACTAATGTACTGCATATTTTCTACACATGTCCAAGAAACAGAATATAATGGCGGCCTATCCTATGAATCTAGCATGGCTACCATCATCACACCAATTCTGCATGTCACTTCAGTCAAAAATTATACTGGCTTCAAGGTTTCCAAATCTCATGACGTATTCAAATTGCAAAGAGCCAGTGCCCCTTACCTTGAGAAGAAGTGTAGGGTTCTGTGTAATGTCCATTGTAATGCAGCGGGGGTGGGGCGGGCATCGCATAGGGCTGAGGCTTAGGCTGAGAAATGGGAAGTTGGAGGCGGGGTTAAAACACACTGCCTAGGTAACATGCAAAGGCGCTGTCTGCTGGCTTCTTTGTCTCCTCTAACACACTCCCAAAGGAGGCACAAACATACGTGAAAAGCGAACATAGAAGTCCACAGCTCTTATCTGCCATTCTCACTGCTGCCCCGAGTGGCGATGCCAAGCCCCGTGCACTGAGGGCAGACATCACACAGCACAAGAAAACGTGCTGCATCCGAAAAGTTAAGGGCAAGGAGGGATAGACAAAAATGGCCTGAATTCTCTTGTAAACATGAATGTAAGAAGCTTATATGGGGTATATTTAATTTTAGGAGGCAAAATTGTCCAGTACTTTAAATATCTACAAACTACGGATTACTCTTGGCTAATAGTCAAAATTTTAAACATTAGATTCAACCTAATATATCAATGTATAATATAATAAATATTATATCAATACTGGGCTTACCCTCTGGGGGGGGGGTGGGAATCACCATTTCTTTGGTCAAAATACAACAGAATATCAACACACTTTTGTGTTCAAACTAAGCATCAGCACTGCCCCCAGTCTACTTTACTAAGAGGACATCACTAAGGGAAACAGCCGTCGTGGCTTTCCTTCCCTTACCAGAGACATCCTGGAAGAAGACCTCCTCCTGATCAGGTTCACGGTGACGGTCGGCGTTTGCCTGTAAAATAAGGCACGTCCTTAGAAGAGCATACATATGTTCTCCCTCTCGCTCGCTCTCTATACACGCAATCTTAATTCTACGAGAATTAATAAGACGGTAAAATGATACAGGTTCTCACACAAAAGACAAAGTAACCCAATCTCAAATCTGAGACAAGGAAGGAGGGTCCCTGTCCCTGGCCTGGCCTCGGCCCCATCCCACTGCCCAGGCCCCTCTGACCACACCAGGGGCTGAGCCTCCTCCCACAGCATCCGCCGCCTGGACCGGAGGGGCCGACAGGGGGAACCTTCCCTGGTCCAACCAGGACAAGCAGAGGGGGAATGAGTTGAGGTCAGGCTACCCACAAACTCACCCCAGAGGCAGCAAGACCGTGCAAACGCATCGCCCCGTGGCCTGGCTCAGCACCGACCACCCCACTGACACACCTGAGGGGTGGCCATCGGCTGCCAGCCCCAAAGCCGGAAGCAACCGGGACTGCCTGCCTTTAGCTAAAGTCTGTTAACCACACACTCCAAATGTAATGAAGAGATAAGCTTATCACGTTGGTAACTTAAGAATCTGTATTTCTTCTAAGGAATTATATTAGGGAAAGCAGGAGAATAGGAAAATTGTTTTAGTGGGCCTGTGGTAAACCCGTTTATTTATCTTTCTTTCAAGAAACTTCTCTCCGGTTTTAAATGTACTTTTTAAAAAGCAATGAGACTGGGTGGAGGTGGGAGAGGGCACAGAAGGGATAAATGGTGATGGGAAAAACTAAATGTTTTTAAAAAGCCATGAGGATATTAAGGAGGGCCAACTAACATTTACCAGATAATCTGAGAGTTTAAATGAGTCACGACAAGTCCCATCTCTGAATAAAATTAGAAACAGGAAGCAGAATAACCCATTTGTAATTCTATAGTTTTTAAACAGAGGCAGGCATTTTTTGTTTTTGTGTGGTCAGTTTTGTCAAAAGTTAAGATCTAGGAACCTAAGCACTAAGGATTCTTGGCTTTGCCGATGACTTACATAATTTTGTCAAAGCACTTAAAAAAGACACACAAAAAACCTTTGCCATCTGTTCCTGGTTCGTGAGCTTACACGGCACGTAATCACTGATTACAGAAATATGCTGTGACCTTTGGTTGCACTGCTCCAAGGACTGATGACTGCAAAGCCACAGCACAAAGTGAACGCTCATGCCCCATAGCACCGAGCCTCGGTCTCCCCGATCAGCATTCCTAGCGCTCTAACAACGAACATCACATTCAAACCCTGTACATTATTAGCTCAACACCAGGTGACCACAACCGCTTTTGCTAGATGATTTTCTTTTTAAATTAAATGCTTTAATAATTTCTTTCATTATCTCTGGAATGTAATAAGCTTGTTGATGAACAGATGTCTCTTTCCCAAGGACGCTCCGTTCTGCCAGTATTTATGTTACTCAACCACCCCGTGGACACGACTTCCGTTAGGCGACGAAAATACCACACATGCCCGGTTAAAGGTGAAGGAGGCCTCCTTGGTGAAGCAGGTAAGAAGGCTGGGTCTGGGCTTTATTTAATTTTTTAATAGTCCTTAACTGCGCGTTAATATATTCCTAAAATCTGGGTCCAGAATTTGAAGACATTGCACTTTGCAGCCTTGACATTCACTCTGCCTTTGCTCATTCTCCAAGGTCAGGGGAAGGCTTAGGCGAACTGGTCTTTTGAAGTTTCGATTTAGCCCAGAGACTCGCCGAAGTGAACTGAACTTTAAAGCACTACAAATCTGAAATTGAGACTTGGGAGGAAGGACTGCTGACAGAATCCTCCAAGGACATGTCCAGAGTTGCCCAGCCTGCAGCAAAAGTCAACCGCAGTGTGTTAAACACAAAACCCCAGGATGCAGAGCCTAGGACACAGGCAGCAGCTCCCCCACGTGCTGTCGATGCTGCACCCTGGCCGGCAGCACCCAGCATGCGGGCGACACTGCCCGCTGCGGACGCTGCTCCCGCTGCACACACACAAGCCAGTACCTTTTCCTCCTGCCACACTGTTTGGCGGAGTCAGCCTCGCCCTCGTTCTAATTTTCTAACCTCCCCTTTCTTCCTGCCAGTGTCCTTGCCAATGCAGTTCACTGTGGGACCAGCTACCCCACACTCAGTGCACGACAGAAAATGGGGGAACTGTGGGTTGTGTTTTCCGGACTTTGGGGGCCGTTTACAATGCTGATGGGTGCTGCCGACAGGGGGCCGGTGAAGAACTCTTAGGAAAAAATCACCGGAATGCGTGCACCGGGGAAGACAAAACAAGAAAAGGCTGCCAGCCCCGAGGAAGATAAATGGCAGGACTTGTTGAAACAGGGCTGACAACTGAGCGTGATCACCCAGTGGGGCCCACACCACCCCATGCGGGAAGACGGCTGACCCTGATTTCACAGATGAAGAAACTGATACTTAGATTAAGTAAGTTACTGCTGGTCACGTGGAAAATAAGTAGCAGAACCGGCATTTGAACAGGCAGGTCAGTCCACTTACTGGGCACAGGCTCCTGATGATTGATTATACGCCTAGAACTGCGCCCCCCGCCCCCACCCCATGCACACACACAACCCCACCTGCTTTGCAAGGCCCATGGGGGCAGGAGCACAGGCCACGGTATGGTGGTGCCTGGCATACAGGAAGCCCCCATGTTTGCTGAACCAAAGACACAGGGACTGAGGAGGGAAGTGATGCTCACTGCTAAGCATGGGCGGCTGAGCTATACTTCTGAGAGTTGTCTAAGTTTTGCTTTGTCAGCTTCTTTCTTATAGATTTCTGGCTATTGCAGAGGAATGAGATTTTTTAAAAAATATATTTTAATTGATTTCAGAGAGGAAGGGAGAGTTAGAGAAAGAAACATCAATGATGAGAGAGACTCATTGACTGGCTGCCTCCTGCACGCCCCCTACTGGGGATCGAGCCCACAACCCGGGCATGTGCCCTGACTGGGAATCAAACCGTGACCTCAAGAAAAGCCTGGGGGAGAAAAGGAATCCTGAGAGGCCAATTCTAGGCCTGCTGCAGTCTCAGTAAATGCTCACCACGCTTGAGTTGACCCAGTTGGACCGTGAGAACAAGTCTACCAATACTTCAGTCTAGGTTTAGAGCCTTAGAAGACATGACCAGAAAATTAAAGTTATTTTCCATTTTATTACCTACCGAAAAGCTAAGCATTCATTTACTTCACCCGGGGAACAAGCGCTCACCATGAAACATACTCGTTTTCCACAGAGCGACGTGGATATTAACCGTCATGAATAATTACATAGGACTACCGCATGGAAAAGGACATCCACAACTTACTGGATGTACAGAGATTAGAAACAAAATGTGGCACCAACTAATACGGAGGCCTGCGGGAAAGGAATTATATTGGTGGCTTATTCAAACCCATTGAGTCTTCATTATTTTCCAGAAAAAGAATAAACTGAGGGAATGATGGGTCAATAATATGGACACTCTTCAAAGTATGAAAGGCTTTATCCTTATGAAAAGGCTGTGGTCCAGAAGGCTGCATGTCTACTCCCTGAATCTCAGAACACACTTCTGTATAAAAATAACGTCGCACGTAGCTGGGTAAGTGGGCCAGCCCGGAGGAGCCCCCAATGCAACTATCCTAGACTAGCAGCACCCCCGAATCTAGAAGCAGGGGAACATTTTTACCACAAATGCACCCCAAAGTCCCAGCCAGGCAGCAAGCAGAGGCTCCCATATCCACAAGGAAGCAGGCGTACTCCCCCCTGCCAGCTGGTGCTTTCGGAAACCCCGTCACCAGACCAGCAGGGGGACTCAGATACAAACAGGGGTGCAGGGATGCAGGGAGCGGGGGACAGGGACCTAAGTGCTAATCGTCAGGTGGTTCTGCACGTGTGAGGTTTTCTTCACGCCCAGATCCCTATACAACACAAGCACTCCCGCAGCCTTTCCTCTTCCTTCCTGGCCAATTTTTTTTTTCCCCAATTGACCGTAAGTACTAAAAGGAAAGCAACAAGGAGCGAAAGGGCTCTTCTCCCCATGGATCCGTCACTGTGTCACCCAGGCTCCCACCAGGTGCTAACTAAGGCTTATGCACGCACAAGGCCCCCTGCCAGGCTCCAGGGCACGAAGATGGATGGGAGGACACAGCAGACAAATCGCATCATCTGCACAGGGGCTGACAGCACAGGCTCAGCACGGGAACAACACTTCACGTCTCTGAGTCTCCATGCCGTCGCCCACAAAAGGGCAATAATAACTACCACACCGGTGACTGTGAAGATGAGAGGAGATAAAAGCTCTCAGCATGATGCTCGATACGGAGAAAGCATTTGCTGAATCAGAATTATTGTTATGAAAGTGATAGGAAAAAACGGGACTGGGAGAGTGAAAGCGAGGACTAACAAACAGAATGCATGGTGGCCTCAAGGCGGCTGCATGCAAACCAGATCTTGAAGAATGACTGGCTCTGCGAGAGAAGAGGAGGAAAGGCGTGCCAGCGAGGCCTGGGGCTGCGAGGAGCATCTGCATTGGAAGGACTGAGGGCCCTAGAGCCGGGATCAGGAGTGAGTGGGGCAGGGGAACCCGGAGGAGGAACACTGGACTCTACATGTAATCCCACAGCTGAGGAAGAGTGGAGAGGGACAGGCTCAGATTTGGTCCTGGGCTGAACTCCGAGAGCAGTGCTATGTCTTTTGCTCATCCAACCAGAACCCTGGCTGGAGCCAGGAGGGATGGGGTAGGTGAGGCCAGGAGGGATGGGGCAGGCGAGACCAGGAGGGATGGTGTAGGTGAGGG